CAGACTTCAGTTGGGTTTCTCAGAACCCTCTGTAGTTTTAGTACATCTTAGTTTCTGGTGTCTGTGTTAACTTTTGTGTTTTTGGTGTTTGTAAGTAATTTGACTACTAGAGAAGGTCTCCTGAGAGCTGCTGTTCCAGTGCCAGCATTCCTGGGAACTTAAGAGAATGCTTTCTGGGAGGATACTGACCTAGGGTTGAGAATAGCTCAGGGAGAAAGGACCCTTCCCAGGTGTTCAGGGCCTTTACTATCCACTCTGTGGTGAAGGCACTGTCACCATCCCTGTCTTCTGGAAGACTGAGCACCTGTAAAACCTGAATGGGTCACTCCCTCTTCAGATGGCACAACAGCTCCATGTCCTAGAATAGCAGTCTTCTCCCAGACACTTGCTGTTACAGACATTGAGGAGTGAAACCAGCCTGCCATGCCACACTTGAGTCTCCTTTGTCTGTCTTTTCCACAACCCCATCAAGTACCGTTTTTAAAGAAATGTTGTGAGAAATTATCTTATAGTAACATGGTGACAGCCATGTACCCGGCATTTCTGACATCTCCTTTAGGTACATGTCTCTTGCCTACTTGTTCTTATTTAATCTTCACCCTTCACAAAGAAACAGGCATGGAGGGGAAGACAGTGCTCAGGGAAGCAGTGCTGATAGGAACGGCCCATCCTGTAGCACCTCCCTGCACACTGCCTTGTTAGCAAACTCACCCCTTGCTGTGTCTTAGGTTAGTCTATGCTAGCCCAAGTCCCGCATGAGATAGCCGATTCCTGACGTAGGTCCCAGATCCTGGACTTATATTAGCAGACAGATCCTGCTTCAGTAGATGGCTGAGTCAGATGTGAGCACTGGCCTGATTGATGGCTTTTTATTCTCGGTGGACTAATTCTGATCAGATTATCGGTATTCTTTGCTATCTTTTAGCATGATTCCAGTTCTAGGGATAGTATTGATGGGCCATCTCTTTTGTCTTACTCCAGGTAGACATTCTTCCATTACTTCAGATCCCACCTTCTCTCCCTTTTAATACAAATTTATCAGTTGCTGGGTACGTGTGTGCTTGTGTGTGTGCACATGTGTGAATGCACGCAGGCATGTTCGTATGTTCTCCCTTTTTAAAACAAGATCTGTTGTCTACTGATTTTCTTCTGGGTCTTAGCCCTAGGTAGTCTGCAGATAAGGTCTAACCCACGTTCACACTCCACTCTTCCCCTCCTTGGGAATGTTCCACCAGCTGAGTGTAGCTGTGTGTTGAGACCATCATGGCTAGGCAGAACAGTTTTGACTCAGCATCAGCCCTGTTGAGTATGTTCTTGCTAACCCACTGACCAGGATCTGTGTCTGAAATAGACCATCCCATGAAGGAGAAACTTGAGGTAGCATAAACTAACCTAAGAGACAACAGGAGGTGGGTCTCCCAAGATCATCAGTAGTGTCCGGGGAGGGCCATCCCCACCAACACTGAGTGTCTCCTTGGCTACTGCTTGTGTTGTCAGAAGGCCTCTGTCTGTTATGGCCTCTGGTGTAGACCCTATCTGTCCTTACTTAAATGGCATGGGTAATGAGAGTCTGTCTCTTGTTCCTTTTAGCCCGTTACTTCTTGTTGCTTACCCCTCTGCATTTCTCATGGTCTGTCCTGTGCAGTAGCTTTTGCCTGTGCTTACTCTCCCTGCAGAACGGGCCCCGCAAGTCTGGAGGTGAGAGTCTCTTAAAGTAGGACCTCACGGTCTCTTCACAAATGAGCTTCTATTTTGGGGTGGTGGTCTTCCTTCTTTCCCTACTAAATTTGCTTTGCTCAGGCTTCTTGATACTTTTTCTCTGAATTTACTCATTCATCAGACCACACCCTGCAGCTTCTCCTGAGGTTAGCAGCTTCATTGGCTTGGTCTCATCCTCCTTAGTGGGATTTATTACCAACTGCTCAGGTCAGGGATTTCATCCAGGTACTTCTGAATCAGTGGCTTGCAAATTATTTTTTTAAGCAATTAAGTTGATTTGCAATAGGACTTTGAAGAATACTGATCAGGGTGGGTGAGGCCACAGTTGATTGTATGGACAATTTGTTTTTCTCATTGGTCTGTAGGACTTTTGATAAGCCCAGCGGTGCAGAGAAGTGTCACTTGATTTAAGGTAAAAAGTCCCTAGCTTGGTCCAGTGTCAGTGGCAAGTTAGATGGACACAGACTCCACAGATTTTGCCTGGTATACAGAAAGTCCATCAAGAGAGCAGGCAGCCATCAGAGTATACTACCCTATTTAATGCTCACAGTGGCCTTACCAGTCGCTTCTGTTTATAATGAGGGAGTGGAGGCATGAGACAGTCCAGACTTGCGTAAGGTAAAAGGCAGGATGTAGATCTTAGTCTTTTGAGGCTTTGCTCCTGCTGCATTGTGCATTGGCCCTAGTGCTGATGAGTCAAAGCGAGTGCTCTTTCTCAGGCCTCAGAGTGAGTATTGTCCTCATGTATCTGGAGCTGGTTTGTCTGGTTACACAAAGAATCTACTGTGGATATCTCTAGGTGGCTGTAAGAGAAGAACTAGGTTTGGAGCAGGACTTGTGACCGTTCCAGTACCATTCCATTTGTATTTACAAGTACCATTTGGGTTTTGAAAAGGATTTACCAGGGATTTCAGGTTTGGGCAGGCCAGGCTCTATCATTTTAATTATGCGTCACTGTGTGATGAACCATGCTATTTGACCCCGTTTGGCACTAACTGACTCAGGATTATAGGTTTCTATCAGGGTTGAAAGCTTTGTTGAGCCTGAATGTAATGAGATTGCTTCCTATGGAGTGCTACCTGTAAGCAGCTCACATGAGTTGGTGAGAAATGTCCCCAGTGCTCAGAATCTAATCAACTTACCCATTGTAAGCAGAGCAAACTGTGATATCAGTGGGCCTCCAGTGTCCATTAGGGTGGTGGTGGCATCTTTCTCTGAGGATTGGTGTGCAGATTAAATCAGCTGTGCCTGGGAGGCCCCTGGAAAGCCCCTGGTACATTGGCCTGATCAGCTGCCACTGCCCACTGTTGTTGCTGGTGTTAATAAGAAGTGCTTGTTGACAAGAGCTGATGTTTTGGCCTTGGATCAAGGCATTCCCTTCTTTTTGTTTCCACGTCCCATATCTTTGTCTTTCAAACTTTGCTGGACTCTTTGATTGGTGTTTAGAATTGCAGTATTTTCCTTGCATTATGCGGTCATTTCAGGTCTAAGGAGAAAAATGTAATAGTGCATGCAATCCTGTCTATGCTGCAGGGCCTGTGCTGATGCATGGCTGTCTCCCTATTGCTGGCAGCGGCCTGCTCTGATAGTGCGCATGTCCACCTGGCTGTGGGAACCAGGCTTGAGAATTCTATGAACGTACTTTGCCTGAGTCGTAGGTGCTGGTTAGCGGACCCGTGTTTTGTTTCAAGTTCCACCTTGCTTCAGAAGCTCCCTAACCCTTGGAGGACTCAGTGTTTTCTCTCCTAAACTACATGTTTGTTTGGGAATAGTCACAAAGGAGGTCAGGCCTCCTTAAGGTGGCAGTGCAGAGGGACCTGCAACTCCAGCCCTGCACTTTGAACTTATGCCCTCTTGTCTGTAAGGTGGAGTGACACTTGCCATACTGATTGTTAAGGAGGTCAGGTCAGACAGTTTCTAGAGCCACAGCAAATGGAAAGGAGCATACAGACAGACTCTGAAGCATCTGACTTGTGCTCTGATTGCTGACCTTAGCATAAATTGCACCAGACCAGGCTCAGCAGATAGACAGCACCCAATGCGATTGTTGTTACTCATTCTTGCCAGAATGCCACGTGCATTAGAGTCACTGTCAGCACAAAGCTCTGGGTAGATTTCCTATAGAGCTGAAGATGTTGACACTTAACTTACTGGACTTGGAGTGTCCTGCTGCTAGCACTGGATTGTCACCACTCAGCCCTGTACAGGGTCCATGAGTCAGCATCAGTCTCTCAGCTCTAGATAGTTGGGTAACTGGAAGGAATTTCTGTCTTCAGTGGGACCAGTGCAGGGTAGGCAGGGTAGGATCTTACTCCAGTGTACTGGAGCTGTTGTACTTTAGAAGCCTTAGCTGGCTTTTCTGGGTGAGAGAATAATTGCTGATGAAATAATTTTTCTAGCTAGTGTCAGTAAATCCTTCTCACAGGATAATGTGGCTCTCGTTATTCAGAATGGCATGAATCTATGGAAGCTCCACACTTTCTTTCTACCCGGATCATCTCCTTTAGGGATGCTCCTCACCTGAGATAGATAACCAAAATAAATAAATAGATAGATAGATAGATAGATAGATAGATAGATAGATAGATAGATGGATGGATGGATGAGTAAATGTGTATGTATATATGTATATGTATATATGTGTGTGTATGTGTGTATGTATGTGTGTGTGTATATATATATATGTTATATATATATATATATATATATATATATATATATATATATATATATATATATATATATATATATAACATGTTTTGATTTTGCGGGGAGCCCAAATCATACATTATTCCAGAAGCTGACCTCCTGAATCCTTCTACTGGGTGTTTGGAATGTGGGTCATCAGGTGTGACTAAGCTTTTGTGGCTGTAGTCCGCCACATTAGTGACTCAGTGGATATGAAGGTCAGTTTTAGATTTCCAGGGCGTGGGAGAATTATTGACAGGACAATGTGCACTGCTGGCATGGCAATCACCATTACAATAGCCATCCATCTCTTACCCAGTACAGAAGACCTGTCATTATGCGGAATCCTGATTAAGGTGCTGAAGTCCCTTGTAACTTTGTAACCACCTGCAGGGGAAGTGTGCAGACCCATCCTCAGGCATCACCACTGCTGGGAGCTCTTGGACCCCTTCATTCAGCCCAAGGCTTTCCTTGTGAACAGCAGAGAAGACTTGGAGTGCACTCACTCTTACAGTGAACTCAGCTACAGGAAGCTCCTCTTTGATGATATGAAACTATTTGGCCTCAGGGTCACCTTGATGTCTTTGTCCTAGGAATATGAAGACAAGGCTGGAAGACCAAGCAAGCTGCCCTCTCCAAAGCAGAATGTGAGGAAGAACCTAGATTTTGAGCCACTGTCCACCACAGCACTCATCCTCGAGGATAGACCTGCGTGAGTCTGAAGAAGAGCCTCTATGCTTTTTTTGTGCTGTCTGCTGTGGGGATGAGGCTAGCTTGCCTGCTCCTTTTCTGGAGGCAGGAACGGGGAGAAGAGTGGTTGGGTCTCTCTTTAACTCTATGTCAGCCTTCATTTAATGTGGCATCACATGGTGATTTGGGAAATTGTCCTGTGTCATAGAAATTTAACAAAGCTTTTTAAAGGCAGTATTTGCTTGTAGTTTTTATCCTGGTTTACATTGTGTAGCTGCTGAAAATGCAGTGCAAGTTTGGGAGTACAAGGAACCCTGCAAGCATGCTTCAGAGTGGTGCTATGGAAGTTCTTTTATTATTTTTTTCCCCCAAGGATACCTCCTAGGATGGCCTATGGAGTTTTTTTGGGTGCTTTGAGTCAGGACTTTGCTGTCTCTGGGCCATGGTATCCCCATAGTGTGATGAGGGGAATCATGCTTAGCGCTCTTCCTGGAGGAGGAAGTCATAGCTAATCTAATTACTAATTTACACAGAACAGTGTGTCAGGGACAAGGTTGAGGAAGAACAAGAACAAACAACAGGTTGTCCAGCAGTGGGCTAGTTAATTCTGGGCTCTTGTTCATCCCTGATATCTAAAACTGTGAAGTCAGGCTAGCAAGATGGGCAGTGGGTAAAGAAAGACACTTGCTGCCAAGCCTGATTCCTGGCATCTGAATGGTAGAAAGAGAAAACTGACTTCTGCTAGCTATTCTCTGACTGACAGACACAACAAATACATACAAACGCACACACACACACACACACACACACACACACACACACAGGAAGAGAAAGTACAGAGAGAGGGAAGAAGAGGGGAACCGAGAAGGAGAGAAAAAAGAGAAAGTGTAATTTTAAAAACAATTAAAATGTGAAATCTAATGAGGAGTGTTATCAGCAGGGAAATCCTGAAGAGGAGGTTGGAACAAGAGACCAGCTCTTTCAGTGTGCGGAAAGGTAGACTGGGCTTGCCACCTTTGGCTAGTGGCAGTGGTTGCAATCTCACAGGGAACATAGGTGGTCATAGTACTTGTAAGATGCAGGCGAGGTTCCACCACATCTCATCAAGTCAGCTGCCAGAGTCCACTGGCATTTTCTGTTGGACACATATAGTGTCTGTGTGCATTTGTATAAAATCGAGCAAAGGAACTGAAGAGCCATGTAAGTTATTGCTCTCATTGCTGTGGCAATTGACTGACCAAAACTGAAACAAACAAACAAACAAACAAAAACAAGACTCAAGATAGCTTTATCTTGGCTCACAGGTTGAGGGTCTAGTCAGTCATGGTAGAGAAGGCGTGGTGGCAGGCCTGTCAGGTGCTGCTCACATTGCATCAGCAGGCAGGAAGCAGAGATGATGCTGGGGCTTAGCTTGCTTCTTCCCGGCCTTTGGAATGGTGTCCCCCACATTCCTTCTTTCTACCATCTGGAAGTACCCTCACAGACATACCCAGAGGGATGTTTTTAAAGGGTTGTAGCAGACACTGTGATTGACCATCACTAGAGTTGATCTGAAACTAAGCACTTAAACTGCCATAGAATAAATACTGTGAAGTCATCCTGATGTAGGGATCAGCTGTTGACACTTCTGCTTTGAGTCACATCAGTTTCTTTGGAGAATAGGGTAACTCCTTTTCATGTGTCTTTCTAACCCAGTGTTTTACAGTAAGTATGTTGCTTTGTAAGAAGTTTCTTTGTGGAGAGATAGCTCAGTGGTAGAGCCCTTGACTAATGTGTTTAAGGCCCCAGGCTCAGTCCCCATCTGAGCAAGGTAGCACATATCTGTAGTCCCAGCACTTAGGAGGCTAAGATAGAAGGGTCTCCTGCACTATATAAGTCTCAACAAAACAAAGTTTTAGTTTATGAAAGAACTGTAGTTTTTAAAATGGATTTTTAAACTTCATGTTTTACAGCTTTTATGCAGTAATGCTTCAGGTGATTTTTTTTTTCCTCAGACTTTTATGTAGTTTTAATAGTGCAAACCTGTTTATTTTCTATTAAGAAATCTTCCAGCAAAACCAGCTGAAGAAGCCCAAAAGCATAGACAACAATATGAAGAGATGGTGGTGCAGGCCAAGAAACGAGGTACTGTGAAAGCAAGCCAAGCTGTTTTCTTTTTATCTTTTGAAGCTCTTTATTTTTTTTTAACAATTTATTTATTTTTATTTTGTGTACATTGGTGTTTTCCTGCATGTATGTCTATATGAAGGTGTTAGAGTTACAGACAGTTGTGGGCTGCCATAACTTTAACCTTGATGAAAGCTTTCATACCTGGGAATGTATGGTTTTTTTTCCATTAAACAAACAAAAGAAGCATAATAATCCTGGAAGCATAGTAATCTTACATGAGGACAACACGAGGTAGTACATACCTGGTAACCTAGCACTTGGGAGGTTGAGGCAGGAGACTCATGAGTTCAAAGCCAGTCTTCACTATATAACAAGACCCTGTCATAAAGAACACATAGACTTGCATGAGAAAAGAGACTGTAGGATAAGAAGTGTGTGCTAGAAAGAGTTGCAGCCATTACTGACATGTAGCTCTTTCTCTTCCTTGGGCTGTTCTTTTCACAAGATGTGAGTGATTTGATAAGTTTTTTGCAACACCTAAGAAGCTAGAGAGTGCTGTGACTCTGGAGTGCTTTAAAGTACATACAATAAATAATGGAATATCATTCACCCTTTAAGAAGGAAGTGCTGACACATTACAGAATAGTTGAAACTGATTGATCCAAAGTGAAACAAGCAAGGAATCAAATGGCAAATACCATGATTCCGTTTCTTTGGGGTGCTTCAGCAGAAGCGGGAGGGTAGGGATCTATCTGAGGACAGGGAGTTAGTGGTTATTGAAGACAAGTTCAGTCAAGGAGAAGAGGAGAAGGTTCTAGCGATGACAGTGGTGGGGTGCATGACAGTATGAATAAATGGTACAAAGTTATACAGTTAAAGTAGTTAAAATAGTAAATTCTATGTTATGCCTTTCATAATTAAAACAAAAACAAACTATAACTGTCCCCATGTATCTATGAGTAAGTAGGTTCCAGAACCTCTTGCTGCTGCCAGAATTTAAAGATCCTCAAGGCTTGTTTATAAAATGCCATTATACTATGTGCTTATAAATTGTGTACATCTTCCTGTATTTCAGGTCATCTGTAGATTACCCACAATAGCTTTACACTACGTAGATATTTGTCAGAGAATTGGTCAGGGAATAATAACAAGAAAATTGTATGTGTTTGGTGCACATATGGTTTGGTTGGCTAAGTCTGAGACTGGAGAACCCATGGATGTAGAAGTTAGCGTGGAGTAAACTAAGTAAATTGTGTGCTTGGTTTTCTTCAGAACTGGTTTGGTAAATCAAGAATAAAGTACAAGGGCTGGAGCCATGGCTCTGTGTTTGAGACTACTTGTTGTTCTTACAGGGGACTCAGGCTCGGTTCCCAGCTCACATTTGGTAACTCATAACCATCTGTAATTCCAGTTCCAAGGATCTGATGTCTTCTTTATACCCTGATGGTGTCAGGCATGTATATGATAGACATATATATGCAGGCAGGCAAAACACCCATACACATACAATTAAAAAAGAAAAAAGAAAAAGAGCACTGCACAGACTGTTACGAGTGAGCTTAGGAGTCACATTCAGAAAGAGTGGGTGGGGACTGGAATGGGCTTTCAGTGTTCTTGGGATATATTCTGTTGCTTTGATTGAATGGTTTCATAGGCTTATATGTTTTGTATTCATTGAATTATTTGTATTCATTGAATCTTCTAAAAGAGCAAGTTATACTTAAAGCATTTATTGAAAGATAGGTAGTGTTAATAGATGCTGAGGGATAGATAAAATGTTCTATATTCCAGGCGTAGGGTAATATATATATATATATATATATATATCACAGCACCCTGGAGTTAGAGGAAAGTATTGAGTTTAAGGCCAACTTGGGCTATATAGCAAGACGTTGGGTTCACAAAATAAACTCAGGTTATGACATATCGAGAGCAGACATTTGCTGTCTACCTCCCCTTATCTGTCTCCATCTCTCTCTCATGTAAGCATGTGCTTCGTGCGTATGTAAGCATGCGTGTGTGTGCATACTCACAAACATGCACACAGGCCAGAGGAGGGCATCAAGTGTCCTCTAACTGTCTGTCTTATTCTTTGAGGCAAGATCTCTTGCTGAACTTGAAGCTTGTTTTTTGTTTTTGTTTTTGTTTGCTAGACTGGCAGCCAGCAAGCCCTAGCCATCCTCCTGTCTCTACCTTCCTCAGTGCTGGGTTAACAGTCATGCACTTATACTTGGCTTTTGTGTGGGTGCTGAGATCTGAATCACAGGTCATGCTTTTGCAGCAGTTAACTGCTAAGTCACGTCTACAACTCCTACCTCACTGTTGTTTCTCTGGTGTTTTTGCAACATGATTCTCTGAGAAGAATCGCAGAACTTGAAAATGGGGAGTACTGGCTGCTCAGTGTTTTGTAATTTTTTTTTTTTTTAATTATGATTCATAGAGCTTAAAGAAGCCCAGCGGCGGAAGAAGCAGCTGGAGGAAAGGTGCAAGGTTGAAGAAAGCATTGGAAACGCTGTCCTCACCTGGAATAATGAGATCTTGCCTAACTGGGAGACCATGTAAGCATTGCCTCGCTGGTGTTGTTGAGTGTGACCAGTCCTTTCTTGAGTCTGTGGGCAGCAGTTGTAGTTGTACAATTCATTGTAAAGCCTTTGATAAAATTATTTTTTGCATTGGTCCAGCTTGCTGTTCCTTGCTGGACATGATGACAGCTTCTTCCAGTTTATCTTTTGAGACCCTGAGTCATGTTTGAAAGCTTATGCATGTGTCGCTCCAAACTTAGTTTGGTAACTTCTTGTGCGTCTCATATGAAATTTGAACTGTGTACCTTAATGGACAGATGTCTGTGTGAGATAGCCTGCACTTCCTCTGTAGACTGTTCCCCAGGACTACACCAATAAGAACTACTAATCTGTAACCTTTGGACCTTTACCTTCCCTTTTCCTCTCTACATTGTCCTGAACCTCTTTATCCTTCTGAATCCTGTTTTTCTGTGGCTCAGTCTTCCCAGGGAACAGTTTCCTGCCCCCACCTTGTAGAAGACTCCCTTGAGTCTCCTGGTACTGTCTGCCTGAGCATCTGTCTCTCTCCGAGGGTGGAAACCACTTGTCTTTGATGGCAACCTGTAGTGTCAGTACAGAGTAAGACCCCACAGCATCTGGCAGCTGTGGCATCCTCACTTCTGAGGGTCTGCTGCACCTCTTGTTTTTTTCCTTTGTGGCCAGCACGGGCAGGGTCATTGTGACCAACTATGTTGAATAACTATGTTGTGTTTGATGTTCCCAATTAGCATCCTGTCTACAGTAGTGTGTGGCTGCCCTATGAGACCCCTTCCCACTATTCTTCTGTAGAGGAGAGCTGCCTGTATACCTTCCCTATGTCCAGCATGCCTCACCTGTTCCCTGCACTCCTTACCTCTGCACAGCTCTCTGCAGTCCTGTAGGAGGCCATGCTGTTTTCTCCTGTCTGTGTTTTCTGCTCAGAAAGTCCTTTTCAATCCTTCATGTGTTTAAATTTCTACTGATCACTCAGAACCTCGTTCTGGAAAGTTTCTTGGCTCTTTGGTCTGTGGTGTTCCCTGCTGTGCCTTCAGTACCTGTCACAGCAGTGGAAGTGTTGTCTGGATTTCAATAGAGCCAGGAGGGTGAGCTCCATGAAGGACAGGGTAAGTGGGGTGAGACTTATGTGCAGATGAGCCTTTCTCCATTGAGAGCAAACTCAGAAACTCATGCTTCCATTCTGTTCAGGTGGTGCTCTAAGAAGGTTCGAGACTTGTGGTGGCAGGGAATCCCTCCGAGTGTGAGAGGCAAAGTTTGGAGCTTGGCCATTGGCAACGAGTTGAACATCACCCATGGTGAGTGGCTTGTGTGTTCCTAGGTATTGAGGTTCACTCCGGGATGCTGGGACTCCCTTCAGTCCCTTTTGCCACATTAGGGAATAGGGTAACCACTGCCATGAAGCTGTGGTAGAAAGGCCAGGTAAATCTGTCTTCCCTGAGAGAATGTCTGAGTAGTGGCTTCAATGCTGCCTGCTCCAGTTTCCCAAGAGGTCAGAATAGGTTTCCTACGAGAAGGACAGCAGATAGTGCTCCAAGTCTCAGTAGGGCTGGGTAGGCAGAATCTCTCCTCAGAGTCAGACAGAAGAGTGAAGGTGGTTGGGTACTTAGAGTACCCTTTGGTGGTTTTTGTTTGTTTGGTTGGTTTTTTTTTTTTTTTTTTTCAGCTCTAGACAGGCTAGGGCTGCTATACTTAGGGCATTAGCATGAAGCTAGCATGTGAGGGAATTTTTAAGCTGTTTATCATGCTTGTCAAGTACCTAGCTCCATGGTAGAGTACTTGACTAGCATGTGTACATCCCTGGGTTCAATATTGGAACTTTGAGGAAAAACAAGTGTGTACATGGTGGTACACACCTGTAATATCAGCATTTGAGAGACTAAAGCAAAAGGGTTGTTGGGAGATCAAGACAGCCTAGGCTACAGGGTGAGACTCTTGTCTCTAAAATAAAACAAATTTCCAAATCTCTCAAGTGCTCAGCTTTTGTGTACTCTGCCACACCAGCCTAGATCTATTCATGTGTCTCCAGTGCCCAGCAGGGCCCTGAGTTCTGGGAGCACACAACATGAAGAGCCCATACATAATACAGTAATACGTAATACAGGAGAGCCCATTTCCTCCTGTTTAAAGTAAGCTGCTCTGGCAGGCAGGCCTTCCTGCTTCCTCTTATGGCCCCATGCCTGCCTGCATATTGAGGTCAAGCTGCTTTTATTCTAGTAAAGACTCTCAAGTTTAAGGCAGATTGTTTGTACCTGACCCCTCTTAGCTTCTCCTATGACGGTAGCTTTGTTCCAAGCAGTGTCTCTACCTTGCCTAGCAGAACTGTCAGTTAGGTGGTGACTGGCTTCCTTCAAGGAGGATGACAGGGCAGGGAACCTTCCTCAAAATCCTTTTCTGACTAAATTGTTCCTGCCAGAATTTCACTGTAAGATCTTTATGTGAGAAGATGTGTAATGTGTGACCTGCAGTAGATCTTAGCCTCTCAGAAGAAGAGGTGAGAAGTTGGCTAAGCATGCGAACCTCAATGTGCTTGAGAATCTTCTAACTTTTACCAACAGTCCTGTGGCTAATTGGATACAACATGCCATGCTTGTGTATCTAATTTTGGGCTCTCATGGATGCCTGGGTTTAATTTACTTAAATTAAAACCTATGACGGGCAGATGATGACAGATGGGGCTAAGCAGCTACACATCTTGCCCATCTACCTGTGCCTTGGTCCTGGCTCACTCTGTATAGCTTATGTCTGTGAATGCTGCATCCTGCCCATTGCTCCCACTATAGTGCCTCACTGCACTGCTGTCTTCTCTGTCATTTGTGCCTATTCTAATCTCATGCATGTGGCAGGCACCCATGCAGTATGAATGCCCCTTTCTGACCTCACCTTACTATTTGTCCCAGCCAGTCTGACACAGTGATCTTGGTCTGTTGGGTGCCGAGCACTCGCTGCTGTTCACTGCCTCGTGTTTTATTTAATGTGATGGTCACAGGCAAGTCTTAGGAGCCTCGTTTTTTTCTTGAAAAAGTTGAGACACTGTGCCTTTTAACTGTGGCGTGTGTGTGTGTGTGTGTGTGTGTGTTTCGGGGGGCTAGTTGTCAAGGTTCTCATTTCCGCTTTTGGCTGGTTCTGAAGTTCTGTTCTGACTCAGGAAGACCCAGTGTGCAATAGCACTACTAAATTTCACTCTTGAGCAGTTTCGGTGCTCCTGTCAGTGAGGTTTTTTTTTTTTTTTTTTTTTTTTTTTTGGGGGGGGGGTGCCTGACAACAACAAAATCCAGGAAAAAGGGAGGGAGGAAAGGAAGAAGAGGGTGGGAGTGCAAGACTGGGAGAGAAGGAGGAAAGATTCTGGGATAGGGATACAAAAGAAATTTTAAAAAATTAAAAAACAACAACAACAACAAAGCTGGGGCTTTCCAAATCAGAACATGTGCTCCCAAATCTGCCACTCCACCTGGAAGCTGAGTGTGCACAGGTCCCAGTGCATGTTCTAGACCCCAGCCCTGGACACCTCTGTCTTTCTCTACAATAATAAAAAGTTGCGTGTCATAACTGTGTCATTTTGCCATGGCACACCAACATAGGTTGCATGCATGTTAGAGCTGTCACAAGGCCAAAATGGGATCATTAGTCAAGGCTTTACTTGGATTATAATAATGTCACTAGGATGACTTATATTTAGTAAAACACATGAAGGTAGCTGTGCTTGGCTTTTACCCTGCAGAGTAAATGATGAGAAAGGTGTGAAGTGGCAAATACTCAGTGAAAGGCAGTGATTGGTCAGTAGTCCTCAGGGATGGGAGCTAGGAATCATACAGGCCAGACACACAGGCAGTGTGATGGAGGAGCTGGGGTGCTGAGAGACAAATCTGATGCATGAGACACGGTGTACCTTGGAAGTCGTGTGTGCTGTTGAGTCATGAGCATAGCTTGTGGCGTTCCAGTGGCCCAGGCTGTCAGCCTGCAGTGGCTATTTGGACGCTGAGTTTATCTATCAGCAAACTGCCAGAGGAGCAGGGCTTCTGAAAACTCAGGTTCTGAAGATGGAAGAGATTCAGTGACTATTGTGACAGTTCTCTGACAGCAAGAATTGTTCTTTGAGAGCTCTGCGTATTCAGAGCACCACTTTCTACCCTATCCCACCACCCAACCTCCAGGAACAAGATGAGGAATCCTGTGCCATATGGCTAGAATGCTCCCTCTGTCCTTATTTGAAGGCAGTGTTCATCTTAATCCCAGAAATCTTAGTTCTAAAATTTTAAATTCTGAATTTTGAAATCCTGGAAACTGAATTCTAAAAGCTATTCCCGTGGAGAAAAGGCTACAGAAGAGGGTTAGAAACTCAGATTCTCTGGAAGGATTGGTCATGCAAAGCAGCAGAGTCTAAAATGCCTGTAATTTTTTTTAAAGCATTTGTCAGCAGTGATGTTTCTCCAAGCTAATGACATTCAGTAGCTTTAAAGGAACTCAGCAGCTTTTGCCTGAAGAGGTCAGCAGTTACTGGTTGATGGGATGCTTCTAGAAGCTGGCAACAGAGTTACAGGCTGACCACTGGTACTGCTTCCACAGTCTTTGCTTCTGTGGTTTGTTGAGTACAGTGGAATCGGTGCAGGAAGTACAGTACAGGAGACCAGGCAGCCTGGAACAGTTATGTCTGTGTGTGGTGAATCCTAGAAGAATTTGAGAAGGAGCAGTGACACATAGAAAGTGAGCATGGATGTGCCTGAGAGCCACAGCCTAAAGGAGAGAGCGATATGATGTGCTTTGTCAGCCTCTGTGGGCTACCTCCACGGAGCTGCCCATATTCTTCCCCTGTGAAATGCTTTCCTTTATAAAGTGGCCCTTACTCTGTTTTGTTTTTAAGCATCACCCCCAAATTGTCAGTATTTTTTGCAGTTTGTTGTGCTGTGGTGTGTGTTTGTGTGTTTTAAGATTTTATTTTTTTGTTTTATGGGTATGAATTTTGCTTGCATGTATATCTGTGCACCACATGTATGCAGTGCGTGCAGAGGCGAGAAAAGGGTTAGATCCCCTGGAACTGGAGTTACAGATGATTGTGAGCCACGAGGTGGGTGCTGAGACTTGAAGCCAGGTCCTATAGGTCTATCAGTGCTCTTAACTGCTGAGCCATCTCTCTAGCCCCTGTCGTCTGTGCATTATCTTCATGCCATTTTCAATGTTCAAAGTAGAAATTGTATATAAACTTTAGATTACTATAATTCCTTTTGCACATTTCTTACAGATTTGACTCTGTAAAAGTTTATTACTACAGTGTTGATTGTGAGATTGTGTATACATAAAGATAGGAATTTCCTCAGTCTAGAAGGAGATATCCTTTTGGACATCTGCATTTGTGAACATTCTTTGAAGTCTAGGTTCTTTCAGTGACTGTGTATGCAATGATAACCTGTCTCAATGTTGATCAAAGATATAGGTCTCCTGTCCCAGTGTTTCACATGGCCAGTTAGGAAGCCTGGTGCACAATTATGAACCATAATGATAGCATATTTCTTTGTGTATAGCTCATCTGTTTGTGACTTAGGCATAAAATGTCCTTTACCCACTGTGATGCTTATAGTAGCATTGAAGCCTATTGTTGCACAAAGCAACACAGTATTCTGTTGTTTTTATGCTTCTCAAATCTCCCTCTTAAGATGTAAGTAAATGTTCTTAATTTTTTTTCTTTTTTAAAGAATTGTGTTTTCAGGATTTTAGACTTTAAGGATTCAACATTTAGGATTAAAGGTTTGTTTGTTTGTTTGTTTGTTTGTTTGAGACTATGACTCAGACTTGTTAGAAACCAGATAAACTCTGTCCACCTTTCCTTTAGTCCATAGGTAATATACTGACTGACTGTTCTCTTCAGTTTTTAGTCTAGATACAGAGGTAAGCAAGAGACTTTGGCCATCCTAGAGGCAGTGGGCCAGTCACAGAAAGTCACAGCCAGAAATGAATAGGTAGCTGTGTAGCAGAGGAAGGCACCAAGCACCGGGGAAGTGTGCGTGGGCTTCCTTTGTAAATGGTTGTTTCTAGGCAGGTGTAAGCCAAGAGGAGTTGTTGGAAGAGTGCCTTCCTCTGTTTGGGGAAGGATATAGTTGTGTGTTCTCTGGTGTTGGTGAGGGAACACGTACATGTAAGACTTACCGAAGGCTTTTCTTTCAGAGCTCTTTGACATCTGTCTTGCTCGAGCCAAGGAGCGGTGGCGGTCCCTCAGCACCGGAGGCTCAGAAGTGGAGAATGAAGGTACATCTCTGCCCCCATTGAGCGGTTACTCAGTAGTACTCCTCACTGGCTCTAGTGTGCCTTTATGGCAAAAGGACTGCTAAAAAACAAAAATGGGCCAGGTGTGGTGACACACGCCTATAATCCCAGCACTCTGGGAGGCAAAGGGCAGATCCCAGTGAGTTTGAGGCCAGCTTGGTCTACAAAGCAAGTCCAGGACAGCCAAGGTTATACAGAAAAACCCTATCTTGAAAAACCACACACATACACACACACACACACACACATACACACACACACACACACACACAAAAGGAAATGAAAGAAGAGATAGAACCCCACACTTCCTGAAAGGGTTTGTGTCTCCTGCTCACAACCAGTTGCTTCTCATTAAAGTTGCCTGGTAGCCTGGTAGCCTGGTTCATTGAGTGTTGTTGGCTTCCACAGGCACCAGCAGTGTGTATCTATGAGATCAGAGGAAAGACCCACTTTTGCACACAAAAACCATGCCTCTGTGGATAGGCAGTGTGACTTTCTGTGCTATCATGTATGGTATTGGAATTTAAAAGCACATAAAAAATTTTTTATGAATATTTGGACATAAGCTGTTCCTACTTTTATTTTTTTAAGTTGACGAGATTGTATGTGCCTATCATGTATAATATGTTTTGAAGCATTTATAATTATGGCAAAAATATAAGGAAATGCCTTCAAATAAGTTTTTTTTTAATATTTAGGGTTAAAGTATAAATTGTATAATTAATGTTAGGTAATACACATTACATCACACAGATTGCTCCCTCTCCTATCTCTAGTTTGGCACTGCTTACACATGCTAGGCCATCTTTCTGTTACTGATCTATGTCCTTAGTCCTTAGGGGTTTGTTTTGTTTTAAATGGGGAAAACACTTTACTTCTGTTCTCTTGGCCTGTTTCAAGTATACAGTGTTTAATTAGCTATGGCCACCATGTTGTAGGGTAACTCTTATCAGAATTTTGTATCTTTTGACCAGTATCTCCCTGGTTCATTCCTGCCCCATCCTGCCCTGCCTCTGGTAAACCCGTCCTGATTTTTGCTACTTTGAGTTCTACATTTTAGATTGAGTGCACAAATGATATGGCATAGTCCTTGTCTTTCTGTGGTTGGCTTATTCTTTGGCTCAGTGTCCCTCAGCTCATCTGTTGTCTACTTTCTGTCATCTGCTACCTTTTCTTCATCTGTTTATCTGCAGACAGCCAAGTAGGTTGATGAGTTTCTTGACTACCATGCATAGTGCTGCAGTGAACATGGATATGCTGTGGTCTCTTCAGATATCACTCCCACTCCCTTTAGCTGTGCACCCAGGAGTGGCATTGCTGGGTCATATGTGGTTTTACTTTTAAGTTTTTGAGGTAACACATATCAAATACTTTACCAGAGTTTCTTTAGGTGGAATGATCATCTTTGTTATGATTTTGCATGCCTTGTGTGTATTTCTCAACTTGTATTTATTTTCCTTGTTGTTGTTGATGACAAGTAATATCAAATTAGATTTTTATTTTTAGACTTTAGAAAAAATCTGATGATGTTCTGGCTTGTGCTGTGAGGCATTTTTATCTCTAGAGTGAGAGATTCTGCACTTGCCATGCAATCTTCATGAAGGTGGACACTGTGTAGGCAAGGTGTAATTGATCTGTACGTGCGAAGAGCTTCTCTCTGTCTCACGTTATAAAGCTTCAGAGAGCCTGGTAATGACCCATGTCTGTGCTGAGAAGTGCAATGACTTTTGCTTTTTTGACAGATGCTGGCTTTTCAGCAGCAGACAGAGAGGCCAGTCTGGAGCTTATTAAACTGGACATTTCTAGAACATTTCCTAATCTCTGCATTTTCCAGCAAGTAAGTGGTGGGGATTTGTCACAAGTGTGCTCTGTTTAAGTTTGGTGAATGCTGAGCCGCATGCCTTTGTAGCAGTGTTTCAAAGATTAGTTAGGGTTTTGTAGGGAATAAGGTGGGTGTCACAGTGCATTTAGATGCTTAAAATGTGTGTAACTTGTTCTTACTGATCATACTTAAGCCTTAAAGGTGACTGGTTCTTTTTGTAATGTGTGCATGCCAGAGCCTCAGTAGGCAGTGCAGAAGAGCTTATGGTTCGTTGTGTGGTCAGAGTGTTTCTTGATACTCTTCTGTTTTTAGGACTGTAGGTAGCTGTGTCCCATTGGTAGAGCCTCCATGTGACTTCAGGGACCTGCTGAAAGGGGAGGGACAGGAAAGAGTGTCTCATAGCCTTGATGTAGCCAGGATGGGTGGCGGAGCAGAGATGGTGGGATTTCTGAGATGATGAACCAGGAAGTTTGGGGATGGAGTCTTGTCTTGGATGTTAGTGGAGCAAGAAAGGCCTCCTTTCAGTCATTTGGGCACAGCTGAGGAGGGTTGGCAGTAGATCTTAGAGTCCCAAAGCTTAGAGTTCTCTTTCAAGGCCTTGTGTTGAGCCAGGAGACATACATGCAGAGATCTTTTTTGAGCCCTCTCTCCTGTAAACTAGCAGTATCACCAGCTCTGCTTCAAAATATTTCTGCCTCTTTCCCTTCTCTGTGCTCACTACTTTATTTGAGAGCCTAGGCATTGTAGGTTACCATAGCAGCCTCCTTCATCTCTCCTGGCTCCCTTGCCTACTTCCACTCACCTCACCTGCTAGTCATATTGAAACCTCCAGTCATGCCTCCAGTGTGTTAACATGCCTTACACACAGTGGCTTACTGGAATGAGTTGGTTAAGTGGCTGCAGAATGAACAAGCCAGAGCATTGAGTTTAGGTAGGCTTGGGAGGAATGTGGTTGGGCTGGACAGTCTGACAACACAGGAGAGCCACTGTCTTCTTCTGGAAGACCATCAGGGGTCACATCTAGAAGGAAGGGAACAGTCTTGTCTGTGCATGCATTAGATTTAATTAATGTAGTCTGGCAGAGGGTAGGTGTCAGGTGGAAGCACAACTGGGACTAAAGTATTGGGACCCTGTTCCTGTGCCAGAATGAGCGTTGAGGACACAGTTGTCCCTGCAGTATCCTTAGAGTGTTTCTCTGTTCTGGTGGGTGCAGAACTGGTAAGGACTGGTCCCCAGCTAGCACATAGTATGTTGAGGGTAGAGTTCTAGGTCTCTGGTTTGTGGCTGAGAATTAGGCAGAGAGCATGACTTGGCTAGGCATCAGGGACTAGCCAGCTTCAAAGGCAGCACCAGTCTGAGCACTGTGGTTGCATGGGGAGGGGATGGCCAAGAGAAATCTTTGGGTTCCACTGAGACAGAGTTATTGCTATGTCAGTGATTCTGCAAAGCAGATCCCAATGTCTAGGAGGAGCTTAAGACATTGGGTACTTGACCTGCCAGTGAGCATAGTGGCCTTGTCTGCCTTCTTTACCTGCCTATATTCCTTCACTGTTCCTTCTGGCCTCTGTGCCTCAGGATTGGATCAATGTTGTTGCTGAGGTATGTCCTGGATGGACTAGGGTTAAGATGAGGACCCTGGTGTTACGTGGTGGGGCTTTTATTCTCTCTTAGCTTTCCGTATCTTAATTTAGCTATATTGAGTCTTCAGGACTCTTGCAGTCAGGGCAAGGGTAAAGTCTATATAGCTGTCCAGAAGTTTGGTCTGTTATCTAGCCCACAACCCCTGGGAGTACTGTTCTGGCTTGGTGGCAGGTGTGGACTCAGATGGGCAGCCATCTTTAGACTATTTCTTTCTCTCTCTGAAGGTTTGCCTTTCTCCTCCCAGCTCACTTCCATAGGCTTCAGTCCATACCATTCCTTATAGCCAGCTTCCTGGTCCTCTCCTTTGAGGCCTTCTGCTTCTTGAACACTTGGTATTTCCATCTCAGTGGGGACTCCTGTAACTCCAGCTCCAAAGGGACCTAGGCAATGCTGCTGTATAAAAGGGATTCACTTTGGTTTCACAGATTTGGGTTTGATTCCAATCAGTTCCCTTCTTGCTAGTAGTTTGGCCTCAAGTAAAACATTTCTATGCCCCATAATCTGTTCCATATGTGACTAGGAATGCTCTTTGCAACCTACAGGTTTGTTCAGAGTACTTGACTCACAGAGGGAAGCCATCAGTGCTATAGCACTGATAATAGTATACTATTAATTGTCTTTGACTGTATTTGAATCTAAATGACATTGAGATCCACCAAAGGCTAATGACTTTTCACATTAGGCAGCCTAAAAGTGGGGACGTGGGAGTCTTTAGGGGGAGCTTGTGGTACCTGGTCCCTTGCCTGCCAGAGGGAAGATCTGTACCCTTTCTCATTAGCAGAAGGAAAACCAGAGATTTGAGACAAGGAAGCAAGTGGGACTGAGAGGAAGCAGGACAGGTTTCCCAGAATGTTCCTCAGAGTCCTGTTGTGCTATGCTCCATACCTCAGTGTCATGGAGTGCTAAGAGCCTGGGAAGGCTCTGCAGAGGCCAAGGCCCAGCTTTGCATTACTGAGTCTGAGGGGGTTTCTGCTGAAACATGGTCCCTGAATTCTCCTTCAGAAATACTGAAGTGAACAGTCCCTTGCTGCTTCCCTGGGAGCAGAGGGTGAGCTCAAAAGAGGGGACATGGAAGCTCTGTGGTCCCTTCTGGGTAGGTTGTTCTCTCAGGCTTCCGTTAAGTAAGACTTCCGTGGTCAGTCGGCTCCAAGGCTGTTAGTCTTGGGAATAGATAACAGTAAAAGCAAAGGCTGAGGAGGGAACCTGAGAGTCCAGCATAAGGAAAGGTCACTCAGGAAAAGGAGCTGGCACCATCATGAGGGGATGGAATGACTAGGTGGAAAATCCTTTAAGGAAAGATGGGTATAGTTTCTCTCAGTCTCAGATTGCACAGAGCCTCTTTGTAGTCAGCTAGTACTCAGGATCTGCCACCATTGTTCCCAGTCCTATATGTTGTCTCCCCCAACCCCCACTACTGTATTTGGCTTTTTGTGCTTTGAAAGTGTCTCTTCTTTGATATAGCTTTTTTTTTTTAAGTTCAGTAATTTTTTAAACATTATTCTTTAAAAATTACTGAATTTTTTAAGTTCAGTAATTTTTTAAATGTGCTAGAATATTTCATTTTGCTCCTTCACTGTTTTTTTTATTCATCTTACATCCTTGTTGAAGACCCATCCTTCTTCCCCTCTCAGTCCCACTTTCCTTCCCTCTCCCTTTTCCCCTCTCCTTTCCTCAGAAAAGGGGAGCTCCTTTTCCCATCCAGCCCAGCTCATCAAGTTGTATCAGGACTCAGTGTGTCCTCTTTCCCTGTGGCCTGGAAAGACAGTCCTTCCAGGGGAACATGATCAAAAAGGCTGGCAAATGAGTCCATGTCCAGTGCAGTCCCCACTTCCCTTTGATATAGGTTTTTTTGTTTTTGATTTTGTTTTTTAAATAGGGAAAATGTAATGGTCTATGCTAGGAGTTATAATTCCTGCACTTAAGATGCGAGGCCAGGGTTTGGCTATCTTGGGCTATACATTGAGATCCTATCACCAACCAACCAACCAAAACAAAAAAGAAAATGTGATCCTCTGGTTCCTGTCACCCCGTTGTAAGCCACCCAGAGGTACCTGTGGAGTGACTTCCTAGTCTTATGCCAGAGAGAATGTTGATCCCTTTGTTAACTGAGGGCATGTGGGAGATGTAGGCAGTAGGACCTCCATATAGGTCCAGCTAGTTCTCTTTAGAGTGTCTTTGGCACACTAACAACAGAGTGGGACAGCTCTAGTCTTGTCCCTTTGTTGAATTAAAGGGGAAAGCTAACATTTTTTTTGTTTTTAAACGATTACAAGAGCAAATGGGAATTGCAGCAGGTGGGAGGGCTGGGAGAGTGCTTGAAATGAAATGGAGTCTACTAGTTGCTAAGACTTCCAGCATGTTTTCCAAATCTGCTGTTTGGAAAGAAACAAAGATTGATGGGCAGGAGAAGGGAGGCAGGAAGGACCATACTTGTGGGTACAAGACTGAGTCTCAATAGCCCTGTCACTTGCTCTGTGGAGTCCTGGCCACCTGGCTCACCAACTGAGCTTGGAATGGAACAGGAGCCAAATAAAGGAAGGGCATTTTACGAGGTTCCTGCTCACAGCTGACCCTTCAGCCTTTCCAGAGCAGCTTCATAGACAGAATTGCAGGCTTCCTCATTAACAGTAAGTTACTAGCTCATTTATTATTTGCATAATGCATCTAGAGCTGCCAGCATAGTACTCAGCAAAGTCCCTCCTGTGTGTCGCAGGGTGACAGTGGCAAAAGTAGCAGCAATGGTATTAGATGCTATTCTAAGACTAACAGTACTTACACATGTGTTGATTTTGGTGTGTCAATCCTTTTAGGGTGGTCCATATCATGACATGTTGCACAGTATTTTGGGCGCTTATACTTGTTACCGGCCGGATGTGGGTTATGTAAGTGATGCTTTCCAGTTTTTTATGATGTTGTCATCTATAAAGAAAATCAAAACATTGCCTATCTTTTATATTGAATGCCATTGTGGCTTTTTGAGGAGTATAAAAAATCTTGAGATAAATAAGTTGATTCAGTTTCTTTGGACAAATTGCTCTGACATGGCTGCTCTATGGCATTCATCATATTTTAATTAGATGTGATGTTTACTTTTTGCATGTGATTTACCCCTGATATTAAGTAGAAAAGGCTTTACCAATAACCACTTTTCAAAAGTGTGCTGCCACTGTTTCTGTGGCTCAACAGATAAGTGTGTGTATGTGTGTATGGCCTTATTTAAGCCTGCTAAGTTCATATGTGTGACCACAGCACCACACCCAGCATGGCACATACCAGAGGGCAATAGTTCAGATGCCAAAAACCCTAAGGTGGGATTGGCTTATGGTTTTCCATTACGAGGGAGTAGGGGATGGAGGAGAGAGCAGGTGGCTGATGGGCAGAGCCGTGGCTCTGAGGAGGGTGGATCTGGTCTGACGGGGTTTATTTAGGTGGTGGATGGGTGGCTGTGTGGGTTGTTTTTTTTTAATAGTGGGAAGGTGTTTTGGTTTCTCTTAATAAAAACTGCTCTAACCTTTGTGGCCACATTAGTTAACATAACCTTTCTCTCCTTTCTCAGGTTCAGGGCATGTCCTTTATAGCTGCAGTGTTGATCTTGAACCTAGATACTGCAGATGCCTTTATTGCTTTTTCTAATCTTTTGAATAAACCTTGTCAAATGGCATTTTTCCGAGTGGACCATGGCCTTGTGAGTATGCCCTGTGTATGTCTCCCAGTACCACATCTTTATGCAGCAAGAATTACCCAATCATTCTGTCTTTTTAAGGCAGGAAATGCATATTCCTTTTATAATGGGTATTTGTAATGAGAAGAACACTTGAACTTAGTGTGGAAACATATGGGCATCGTCCTTTGTATGAACAAATTAATACATTCTCCTAGAGAGGTGTCTGAAACACTGTACTCTTTAAATGAGGGTTGAAGGCGATTTCTGTGCAAGCATATGCTCTTTGGGTTAGGGAGATGTAAAAGCAGTGTCCTCCTTAACTCTGTTGAGTAGAGTACCCGAGGGTTGATGTATGCTGCTGCTCACAGTGTATTACAGTGGGTCTCTGCTCTGTGGAACACGTACGCAGGAGAAAGGAGGTATGCTCCAGACCATGCTCCCTCACTTCAACAGTGGTTTAGAGTGCTGTGTAGATTGTCTTTAAGAGACCCCCACATACAGCTGCATCACCTGCATAGTCTAGATGTGGGAACAGACTGAGGAGGAAAGTGGTTTGTCCAAGACATATCTGGTACATGGGAGAGCTGAGGTTTGATTCCACTCCAACTCCTAAACCTTGTTCTTACTGGAAGAAAACGCACTAATCCATCAGCTTTTAGGTTGGTGTTGCATTGATTTTTCTCGTCATTTCCACTCATCCGTCAAGACCTCAACTATCTGATACATGTCAGGTGACCACTTCTTCCTTAAATGTCTTCAGAGTCCCAAGTGTCTTTGTTCTGAAGCTGCTGCTCACTCTGGCTGTTAGGAAAATGTCAACTATGGTCATTCAGGAAGATTATTTGGTATTCCATTTCCGTAGCTGAGAGTGGCTTTGGTTCAAAGTTCTTGTAAGAACTGATTCTGAGAAAAGTTATAATTGTGAACAAAGCATTATGCATAGAGATTGTTATTACATAATTATTTATAATTGTAACTCTCAGAAGGGTTTAAAATGAGTTAAGGGGAAATGAGGTAGTAAGTGAATCTGTCAGACCCCCAGTGTGGCAGTGACACAGGGCTGTGTGAGGAGTATGAAATAGATTTTGTACAGCAGTCACTTCCTGTAATAGCAGGAAAACCAGGTACCTCAAAACCAGGTACTTGATGAATTTGTATTTTTGTCATTGTTTTGTTAAGTATTTTGAGGCCAGGTCTTAATGTGTAGACCAAACTCCTGGTCCCCTGCCATAGCCTCCTAGCTGCTGGGGTACGGGGTGTATCAGAGGCGTGGCATGTAGTGCTTCTGTGTTGTCTGAGTTTTCTTCACAGAGCAGTTACAGGGACTTCTTTCAAAAGCAGATAAGACCTTTTCTGTCCAAGAAAATGAGTGAAATCTTTACGAAAGATTCTCACCATTGAATAGATTATTGCTACTAACATACTGACTTCATATTGCCTATGCATTGGTCCTAGAAAGTAGTCCTGGATATCAATTTAATTTCTTTGTTTGTTTTGGAGCAACGTTTTACCTGATAACCCAGCTGGCCTTGAATGCATGAGACTATTGTCTCAGCCTCCTGACTGCTAGGCTTATAGGTCTGTGCCACTATGCCAAGCTTAAATTTTCCCATTTTGTGTATAGTAAAATGGTACCTGTCTCTGCTAATTCTGAAGATCCCAGATTTGTCTCTTAAATATGGAATTGAAGAAAGGGAGACACAGCATTGTAGTGTTGAGTGGGACATTTGCTCTGGACAGCACTGGTGACCTTTAAGTCAAGATGACTGCTGTGGGGGTTCCTGCTCATTAGAGGCCTGAACACACTAATGCCACCCTTTCCCACAAGTGTCTCTAGATGTTGCCTCATGTCCCTGTGCTCTACAATGTAGTCCCTTCATGGAAATGAGTGAAAGAAGTCAGGCTTGTGTTCTACCTCTGCACCTGGTGCACAATCAGTGAAGCAGACTCACCTTCCCCAGATGTGGTGGCTTCCATCCAGCAGGAGCTCTTCTTTCTTCTTACTGATTGCTTTATACTGTCTCTCCCCCAACTCTGCTTTCTTTCTTTTCTTACAAAGCTTGTAAGAACCTGGCCTGTTGCTGCTTTCTTCTCGTAGTGTCTTCATCTGTTGTGGTCAAGGCCTATATATTTAAGCTGGAGCTGTGTTGCCCTTCTCTCAGATTCTTGTCTTGTCTCTCCCTCTGGATATGCTAGGCATGCGCAGCAGGCAGCTTTGCATTCCCAGGCACCTCACACGATGCACCTGCAACCTTCATAGTATTATAGGCCATGGTTCCAGTCCCAGCTCTGCCATGTACCAGTATTTTGCCCCTGTATGGCAAGTTTAGTACCTGCTCTGATTTCAGTGTGAAGAAATGATAAGATGTGAACAGAGCTGCTGTGGGAAGTTTAGAGACAGTCTTACCTGCATGTTATCTGGATAATAATTACTATATTCTAAGTATATAAAGCTTTTGACTCTTGTGGATTGGAAAGTCATGCTGACGACTAGTTTACTAGTGTATTTAACATTGTCTCCTAGATGTTGACTTACTTTGCTGCATTTGAGGTATTCTTTGAAGAAAACTTGCCGAAATTGTTTGCGCATTTCAAGAAAAACAACTTAACTGCAGACATCTACCTAATCGATTGGTAAGATTCAGTTTTCCTGGTTTCCAGAGCATTTCTCATCCCTTGCCCATTTTCCTGTTGTCACTGATGACTTCTTGGAGGACTCAGCTGAGTTTTCTTGTTCTGCTTCCCAGTTCCCCTCTGTTTTGAAGTCCTATTGTTTAATTCTCTAGGCTCTTTGTCATGCCTGGCCTTCTAGACTCCCTTAGTAGGCAGGGTCTTAGACCTATCTGTTTTTAAAGTGCTATTGACCAATCCATTAACTGAGATGTCTCTGGGCAACAAGTCTTTAATAGATCTTTTACTAGAAGTCCACTGATGTAATATGGTGGCTTGAGCAAGTATGGCAGGGAGAAGCAGCATGTGGGCCTCAGAACTTTGGACACTGCACTGCCCAGCAGCAGAGACTAAGGTAGAAGGGGAGGGAGGGGGCGGTGGACCTCAACTTAAGGTGATAGGAGTGTGGGGAGCAGCATGTGGGGCCTCAGAATAAGTCAGAGCATAGCAGCTAAGCTGGTGGTATTGGGGAGGATTGTCAAAAGCCAAGTATAAGGCTTGGGAGTTTGGGAGCCAGAACATTTGGGTTTTAGGGGTCTGGCTGTGGGCTGTAAAAGTCAGCTTGAAGGAACTTAGGAGGCAGGAGCTCCTGGGTGAGAGCTCAAGTGAAGGAAAGCAGGGGCTGGTGGAAATTAGGGAGAGGAGTCATGGGGAGGTCCTAGGAATATGTTGTGGACTTGCCAGGGGATCATGGTGTTGGTGATGGTGCTAAATGAGGGACTGATGGTGTTAGCAGCCGATACCTAAAACACAGAGGGTACAGATTTGACTTTGAGCATGAGGATTTTGAGGGGCCTATTGGAGACTAGAAGTTTCCTGCGACCTTTAAGTAGGAGCCTTCAGAATTATGAGCTGGAGCAGTTGATCAGTTATATCTTTTTACAGAAGTAGTTATGGTCATGTGGAGAGGGTGGCTGTCACCCTGAAGTGTACCAGGCTGAGGGACAGGTGAGAGGCCCGGAAACCTGAGTGCTGTAGAGTAAAGTTGTCATGTGGTGGAATAGTGTTCCTCAAGAACTCTATGTCCCAACCAGATGTGACATATTGCATTATGATCTGAAAGGGCCAGGGAACCTCTCTAACTGTGCTCCTGCGAAGATGTGATCATTGGATATTCAGGGCATTTCAGGTTGACTACTCTGTCTTGGAAAAGGGCTCTTTGGGGGAGAGATGTCCCTGGACTGCACCACTAACTCATAGAGAGGGAAGTGGGCTACTCAGCCACTCTGGAGAGACAGCTGGCTGGTTTGGGTTTTCCCTCACTTTCTTCGGGAGGCAAGGGAACTTCTAGAAGATAAATCTAAGTACTGTCCATGCCCAGGCCAAACCACTTGATAGAGCAAACCTGTCTGTATCTTTGGGAATGAGTGTCAGATATCCATTGTGTTGCTTCTCTCTGAAATGTGGTAGCTGTTCTGGGTTCTGTTGAGGGTAGGCTTATAGCAGAAGCCACTGGAGCTGAGGTTCCTATAGATTGCAAACCCCAGGCTTGGACTGGCCACCATTGGGGATGCTCAGGTGTCCTATATGTCTGTCCTACATATAAATGTTTGGGATACATTTTAAAAGGTATCTGTTTAACATATATTTTTTTTCCCTCTCCTCTATGAACATTTTGAGTACACAAGAGGCTCTTGTCATTCCTAATTTCACCATCTATATTTAACTGTCAACCTGAACCCTTGAATTTCCCTGACTCAGAGCCTAGAACAAGAGATCGTTGGGAAGCAGACATCTGTCTGGTCTTATGGAAGCCTTCCACAGGAATCTTAGATTCTGTGCTGGGGGGTTCAAATCTTTTTTTTTTTTTTTTTTTTTTTTTAACCTTGGCTTGTAAAATGCTACATGTTATGTGGTAACCCAGTAGAACATTAACTCATGTGTTTGGGGACAGAGGCTCCATGAAGCAGAACCACCATGACAATGTGGAGAGTGTTCTGTAATGTTCTGTTCTGTGGATGATGGTCTACTCTCATAATGGCTGGCTGTGTCCTGAAAGTCATGGCCTGAAGGGCAGCTTTGTTTGTTCTTGTCCCAGCTTTCAGGGCTGTGAGTCCAGCGTGTCCACAAGGAAAGGAAACTGCTGGATTTTGCTTCTGAGACCTTCATGCCCTTATGTGGTTGATGCCTGAGGCCTTCTGAGTACTGTGCTTCCCTGAGGGCCTTCAGTATGCCATGTTCCTGATGTGATGCTGCATTCTGGAGTAAGGGCCAAGAAGGATGCCAGCTGTGTGTCCAGTCCTGGCACAGGGCTAGGCACACAGGAAGGCTCTGAAAATGCTGGCTACAGCTGAGCCAAGTTCAGGGAGTGCCTTCTCCTGATTATCCTTACTGTGTTTACTAATTGTCTGCAGTAAGCCTGGCTGGCTCTCAATGAGTGATGATGGTCAGGGGAAGCTCTAGTCACTAGAGGCAACTATACAAAAAATACTCATTGCTTTGTCCCTGCAGCTTTCTCACCCAGTGCCACCCGCTAGTGTGTGTGTGTGTGTGTGTGTGTGTGTGTGTTGTTTAATTTGACTCTAGGACCTTTCTCCAATTGTGTCCTGGCACCTTTTTAAGCCACACCTACTCTCAAAATTACTTTGCCTGCCTTTATTGTGACTGTGCCCTGCACACTGCACACATTATATGAGAAGTATCTGGCCTCAGGGGTCAAGTGAGTGTGTCAGCTCCCTCCTCTTCTGTGTGGCTCCATGGGCACTCAGAGATGGCTGCAGACGCCTGGTGCTCTGCTGTCCACTCTCCTCCAGCACCACTCATACACTCAAGGTGTCTTATTTGTTTTTTTGTTTTTTGTTTTTTGTTTTTTTTGCAGTTCCTCTCAGAGCCTCATGGTTCACTTTCATATCCTCAAAGCCTGGTCCCTTCCTTGGCTCAAGTCCTAAGCAGGACAAGGGCATTTCTTTTCTCAAGGGTTCCTTCAGGTGCCAGTGGCCTAACGCCATTTGTCCACTTGTCTTGCTGCACAGGCTCCTCCCCTTCTAACCCTGCAGGACAGAGCTTCACAAAGAAAGCTGGTAAGGGCTTTTGTTTAGCTATGGATAGTCTGCCTCTCTGCTGTAGATGTGAAGATCAGAGCAAGAGCCTGTTAATTTTCCTGTAGAGTTGTGTGTTTGTTTGGTTGGTTTTTTTCATTTCTTCTTTTCTTTTTTCTTTTTATTTTTTCTCTCCTGAGACAAGGTTATCCTGGAACTAACTATAGGCCAGGCTGGCCTCGAACTTATGAAGATCCACCTGCCTCTGCCTCCCAAGTGCTGGGATTAAAGGCATGTGCCACCACTGCCCAGCTCCTATGGAATTTTGAATTCTGTGACTCTCAAGGATCCAGATGCTATGGGGAGAGCTATCCAGCAGCAGAGTTATTTGGGAATGCGAGTGGGTTTTGTAACAATACCCTTAAGCTAATCAAAAGACCTAGCAGAGTGCTCCATATATGATGACACCTTGAGATGAACAGCTATCTGGTTTTCTCTTGGTGGGGCAGGTTCAAGGAAGTGGCTGTCCGTGATTTGGTTTTCCATTGCATTCTGTACAAAGTTCATCCATGTATCTCAGATTCTGGGTTATGGATCTGCCCCAGAACAGAATGAGGGTAGGTACCATGTTGTAGTCAGAGTTCTCTAAAGAGAGAACCCTCCAGCACCCTCTGGAAATGTGTTGGCTAACTGGGGCTTTGAGTATGGTTGAAGGGAGTGGAAACTCTAGTAGTTGTGACATACAACCTGTTTGAGTACAGGGCTTACCATCACCTCTTAGGTGCTGGACCAGAGGTAGGACTGCAGACAGCAGAATCCTTCCTACTACTCTTAAGACCATGAGTGTTTCTGGACTCAGTTCCTGAATTTGAGCTGAGTCTAGGTGGCCACTTTGGCTTTGCTGACCTGCAAGTCTACACTGGGAGTTGGCTGCCTCAGGCCTGAGAGTTCTTAACCAGCACTTCTGTTCTATCTGTGCCTACATTTCTTAGAAACATGGGGAACCTTGGTAGGTCATCAGCTGAGGGTGTTCCTGAACCAGTGTCAGATGAAAGGCTCATTTCTAGGAACCAGTAAGGTTGAGGAAGTTGGACACAGCCAAAAGTTAGTGCCAGATATGTCTTCAGCCATAGGTTCGCAGTGGTCATGACTGTTAGGTGACATTTTCCCCACCCTAAGCTGTGATCAAGTTTCCTACCATGCCCTTTGTTTCCAGTATCAACATTTGTGAAGTAGAGATAAGACTGCCTCCTTCAGGGTTGTAGTAAGGAGGTATGCCCCATGGAAGAGCAAGGGTACCCCTGGGTCACTGTTTGCAGTCTCACAGATAGCCCAGGGTCTCTCTGTAAGGACCCTTGGGGGCCTGTCCTGGAGCACCAGCTGATGTGGAAGGGGCCTGCACTCCTTCCACACTTCTCCCAGGAGCTTTGGTCCTTTTCATATCTAACCTAATAAAAACTTAGAGAAGAGATTAGGCATGGCTAGATAAAAATAGGTTGTGGAAATTGTGAAATCTCAACAGGAAAGATTATACCTTCTGTTCACATGTGTTATGGAGAAATGGATGCTCACAGTTCTGGTGTTGCTATCGTGAAAGCCCATGGTACTGGTGCAGCAGCACAGAAATGCATTGCTTTGCAGTAGTTGGACTCAGCCCTGAAAGAGCCTTGCTTGTGCAGTTCAGTATTTGCAGTGGCGTCCGGGAGGGAGCAAAGGAACATTTCTACTTGAAGTCTGTCTTCTCACTATGGTAAGAGCACCAGAAGGTTCTGGGAAGGCCAAGGGACTTGACTGTCCACCCTACTTCTGTACATAATCACTGGCTGGGAGCAGGATAGAACCTTATAGAGAGGATGTGAATTTGGGATCCAGTTCAGGGCATGGCTATGTACATATATCAGCCCTCCTATTCCATCTATTTCTGCAGGACCAAGGACATCCTGGCATCAACTCTTAACCATGGCTGAGTCAGAGGGCTCATGGGGGTGCTCTCCAGCTCCTTTAGAGTAACTTTTGAGACTCAATGTGGTTTGAAATGTAGCTAAGCATTTGTAAATTCCTGGTAATAAAGGAGAGAGAAGAGATTGGAGGCACCACCTCCAAGCACATGAGCTGAGAGAAGAGAGTATGAAGGGACAGCTGAGAACTGAAGGTCTCAGTATTAGAGGCCCATGTAGCCAAGAGCAGAGGACAAGAGAGGGAGCCCATGCTTTTATGGCTGTAGATGGGCCCTGACCTAAGCATAGGGGCTTTGGAAGCATGTTATTAAGATGTCTGCTGGAGTCACAGGTCCTGAAGATGTGATGGTCTGCAAGGCACAGAGAAATCACTCAGGATTAATAATGACAGAGCTCCTCCTTGCCAGTGCTGTACTGTCTCTGAGAGAACAATAGCTACTCTGGATGACATATAGGGAAAAGATGCATGAGGTTCAGTGTGCCCATTGACAAGAAACACTTGGTTGTGACCTTGTGAAGACACAGGGAGGAGCAGACAAGCCGAGGGACAGGCCTCAAAAGAAGCTGGGCACCCCTGCTTACACCTGATTCGCAAGACACCGGATTGTGTGAAAATAGATACCCATATTTAAGCCCAAACAAGACAAAACAAAATGTCCCCAAACAAAACAACAAACAGTAAGACTTACATATCCTTTTCTGACCATGAGGGTTAGAAAACAGCCTCCTAAGAAAAGTCACCAGGGCTGAGACTTGGATGAGGAGGGATGAGACAAGAAAGATTTTATTTAAAAGACACATAAATATAAAGGTAAAATTCTAAGCCTTAATCATTGTGCTGTCATATAGAACAAATGGTAGGTACTAACAGTGAGGTCAGGAAGAATTTTCTGTGTGCAGTGCAGGCTGGGAGCAGTTTGATAGCTTCACTTTCTGATCCTGGTGGTCTTTTCTTGATTTGGTGCTTTCTACACAGACTATTCACACAGCTGTGTAACTGGCACAGAACTTTCCTTTGAACTGCCAGTCAATACATATATCACTTGAATTCGACTTTCAGCACGTAATGTGTCAAACGCAGAGTTACAAAGTGATAGTTTCATTCTTTGGGTGGCTCAGCTGGTGACCTCTGATATTTTGAGTTTCTCTTTGCTTCCTCACAACTGCTCAGGTCATATCTGATTTGGGCTAGCTCCCCTGTACCTTCTTTGGTCCATGCCCAAATTTATGACAGTAGCTGTCTGGGGTCATCTGTCCAACCTGTATCTTCGCCAGTTCACTCAGGATAAAGTCCAAAGCCTGTAGAACAACCTAGCAGGCCCTGCTCATTTTGGGTCTGTGTTCTTCCCCAGACAGCCTTTCTCCAGTACCTGGTTTGCCCCATCCACTGGCATGATTCATGATCATGCTGCCCTCACATATAGTTGTCATGAACTCTGCCACAGGTGTGGGAGTATCCCTGGAGCTCCTCTCCTGGTCACCTGTTTCCTCTTCAGGGTGGATGGAAGTGCCTCTCCTCAGCGGTGTGTTCTTTCCTGATCACCTGATGGAGAAGAGCATTCACATGCATTCAGCCATCTATGTCTGCATCATAGTGCAAAACCTTCTGACAATCCCTTTTTATCCTTACACTCCACTGTGTGTTTGTCCTTTCTGCTCCTGAGTTGTCTGTCTGTTCAGTGCTTTGTATCTTCATCACCTGTGAGCAGCAACTAGCATACAGCAGGCTTCAAGAAACTATTTTATGACCTAGCACTTTGCCACAGGAGGGTGGCAAGTTTGAGGCCATCCCGGTCTACTTTTTTTTTTTTTTTTCTTTTTAAAGATGCCCAGGGGTCTGGAGAGATGGCTTAGTGGTTAAGAGTACATACTACTCTTCCAGAGGACCCAAGTTTGGTTCCCAGCACCCATATCAGGTGGCTCATGGCCACTTGTAACTCCAGCAACAAGGAGACCCAAAGCCTCTGGCTTACACAGGTACCTATACTCACTTGCACATACCTAAACATACACACATAATTTAAAATGTTAAAAATGAATCTTAGACAAAAAGAAGAGATGCCTGTCCTGAGTTATTTAGAATCAGAAGGGATGGGTTCACAGCCATCTCCAGGAAGACGTGACCTTACTACTTCTGGTGCTGGCTCATACCCTGCCTAAAGGAGTTGATAGAGATCCACATGCAAATATGTTTTATCCTATGTGAGAAAAGAAAAAGAATCAAGCTTACTTCATGGATTTTGATGAAAAATATGGGGGGAAATCCTTTCTGTGGCTCTTGTTGGCCCTGTCAGTCTTTGAGGAGACAGGAGACATGGTTCCTGTATGTAGATTGGTGCCTGTGTGGGGGGAGGTGCGGCTTAGGTGTCTCTGTTCTCATTTTACACATGTGTGCCACCATACCCAGATTTCTCACTTTATAACTAACAGAGTACATGCTCTGCATCTAGCTAGTAACACAGGCACAACCAAGGTTAGAAGTGCTTGACCTGGGACATAGTGGTTAGGTAGTTTGGGCTGTGATTATCATTTGTGTATGAGTGCATATACTGTGTGGGTGAGAGGTCAGCTCCAGGGGTCATTCCTCAGGACCCATTCAACTTGTTTTTAAAGACAGGGTTTCTCATTGATCTGGAGTTTATCCATTAGACTGGCCAAGCTGGCCAGTGAGCCCAGGGACTGGGCTGATGACAACAGAAAAATTGACACCTTGCTAATTTGCTCACCCCTAATAGGAGAATGACTGTTCTCCCTGTTTTTATTCCCTAGTCCAAGCTCCACTGAGGTATAGCTTCAGTATGCAGCACCTGTCTTAGCAAGCACATAGTAGGTGATTGATAGACATCTGCTACAAGTAGGAGTTATTCAGTATCCACGATTCAGAAACTCTGTGCTGTTTGATAAGACATGGACACTGACAGCGCTGTTTTGTGTAAAATGTAAATTGGCATTCAAAGTGAACGCAGGCCAGTGTCTTCCACACTGTGTAAAAGGCATGGTGTTGTACATGTTTTATGCCATCCCCAACCTGAAAGCTCTATCTCTCCCCAGGATCTTCACCTTGTATAGTAAGTCCCTGCCCTTGGACTTGGCCTGCCGCATCTGGGATGTGTTCTGTCGAGATGGGGAAGAATTTCTCTTCCGCACAGCTCTGGGCATCCTCAAGTTATTCGAGGATATCCTGACCAGGATGGACTTCATCCACAGTGCCCAGTTTCTGACCAGGCTGCCTGAGGACCTGCCAGCAGATGAAGTGTTCGCAGCCATTTCCACAGTCCAGATGCAGAGCCGGAACAAGAAGTGGGCACAGGTAAGCGAGTATGTGGCACAGCTGTGAGGCTGAAGCAATGAGCTGCTCAGTGAGCATTTTTACAGGCTTTTGGAAATGGTGCTCAGGATGGAGGTACATGGCCTGGCTCATATCTGGGTTTCTGATTGTGCATAGGAAGACTGCCCCCATTCTGTAGTGTCAGTACTTCTAGGTCACGTCTTAATCAGAAAGCTCCCCTCCTCCCTTAACTTGTTTTAAACATTATTTTCTGTGTATGACTGTATGAGGGAGGGACAGTGCCTGTGCCACAACGAGTGTGTAGATCAACAGATGACTCACAGGAATTGGTTCTTTCCTTCCACTGTGTGAGTCCCAGGACTGAACTCAGGTCTTCAGGTCTGATGGCAAGTGCTGTCTCAACAGCATTTTTTGAGGAGATGAAAATGTTTTAAGGTTGACTTTTGGTGAGGTTTGCACATATGTTTGAAGATCTTGAAACCCACCCACTTACTTGCATGCTTTATGTGGGTGAATTGCCCACGAATTATAGTTCAGCAAAGCAATTAAAAAGGTGTGCTCAGGTCATGTAGGAGTAGGACTGACTGTGCTGTCATCAGCAATCCAAGGGCAGAGGAGAGCCTTTCTCTGACTGATAAGTGTGAATAGAAAAATGGGGCTGTGGCTCTAAAGTTACTGAGAATTTTAAGATAGTGGAAACAGAGCCTGAAGCTAAGGAGAATCCCTTTGAAAACTGTGTAGGAGATTGTGTGAGGATTTTTAGGATCTTCTAGCCTATTGCTTATAGTGGCTTTTTGAATCCAGGTGGAAAAGGCAGGCTTTTCCTCAGAGGCAGACTGTCCTTCCCTGACTTCCTGCTCACACAGCCACAGCCGCTGCTCTTGTGTGTTGCTTCCATAGATAGAAGGGCTCATGCCTTACCCTGCACATGAACAACATGCAGAAGGAAGGATTCAGTTCAGGCTTTGCTCCATGTGTTTTAGGGACTAGGTTAAAGCTAGGTCATGGGCTATTTGCGTGAAACATTTTCTCATTAGTGGGTTAGTGGTAGCAGATGATCTGACGATGGTGGGCACTGGTGGGTTCATGCAGCTCAGCTCTCACAGGGTCATGCACATCCTTTTCAACTCCCTGTTTGAGTTTATGGTAGTGCAAGCTTTTCAAAACAAGACTACTTAGGCTTGGTTTGCAATCCTGTCCTTTTGAAGGTGAAGGGTACTTTTGTCTGCTGTTGCTCCTTTTGTGCAATTTACTTGAAACCCATTTAATAGGTTTCTGCTTCACTTGTGCTGCAAGGTAAGTCCTGTGCTATTAAGAATCCCATGGTTTTGAAGTTGGATGGCCTTTAGGTGTATTTGACAAACGTTCAGGTCCCTCACGGGAGCCACTGACTTTTCTGACTGTAGATGGGATGTTGGCTCGAAGGTGATGGGCTCCCTGTGTCCTAAGAATGCTCTGCTTGGCGTGTAGTGGGTGCTCAGCAACAGGGCCTTTGGCTCTCACTGCTGCTATCAGGCAACAGTGCAGCAGGATGCTTTTTAAAGATGCCAACCAAGAGCTGGGAGAGCGGAGGAAGGAACAATTACCTCAAAACCTCTGGCCAACCTCTTGGTGAAAGGGACCAGCTGTAGGTGCAACATGGAGAAGATGGTCTTTTAGTGCCCTTTGGGAAGCCTGTGCCTCAATACTGTGTTCAGGAGCTAGCAGGAAGGCATTTGGGGGTGGGGACTGTTGGATGGCTGCTGTTTTTCTGCTGTTCCTATGAGATTCTCATGTCAGTGTGGCCTGTGGGTGTAACCATAGCTGTCTTCTCTGTGATTCTAGGTGCTGTCCGCGCTGCAGAAAGACAGCCGGGAAATGGAGAAAGGAAGCCCATCTCTCAGACACTGAGGCTCAGGGGTAACTCGCACTTGTCATTAAAGTAGAGCTTCAGACTTAAGCCTGGGAAGAACAGGGGCTCTTTCCATGTCGGACTTCTGATGCTGGAGTTGGCCTTAAAACAAAACAGCTCTTAAGGAATCACATCCAGGCTTAGCCTTAAGCATCTCAGTGGACCCATGCACTGGCATTGGTCATGGCTAGCCCCTTCATTTTCCATGTGGGTTCAAGAAAAAAGCAGGCTGTCTCCTTGATCCTTAATTCCAGCTGCAGCTAATTAAATTGTGATGCTATTATGCCAACTACTGGAAGATACATTACAATTTTTCTTAGTCAAGATGCATGAGAAAGGTTATTAGGAGACCTCAGAGCTGTTACTGGCTCATATGTTGGATAAGAAAGGGATTACTTATTTAGTTACTGAGATAATCTTTCCAGAGATGAAGGGTATTTTTAAATCTCCCTACCAAGGACAGTGTGAGAAAGATGGGTTCTTGTAGGGTAGTTGCTTATAGGCTCCTGAAAATCCACTTGACCTTTGTGTTGACATTTGACCCTGTTGCCTTGACACCTGATAGCAAGAAAGCTAAAAAGTTCACATTAGATCCCACTTTCCAAAGTAGCACTCATTGCATCTTGGGAACCATGGTGGTTGGAGCAGGGGAGCCACATGCTGAGAAGGGATAAAGACAGGTCCTATAAAGAAAGGTAGGAAGGGTCTGCAAAGTTTGACCCTCTCTTACCTGCTTGTTCCTGGGGAGGCTGGGCATAGCATCCTCTGAAAACACCATTGAGTAAGGAGATGGTTTCCTTGCTTTAGCTGAATGTCCCTTTTTGCCTTTGTCACCTGAGTAGTGGCATTCATTCTAAGTACCAGTGATTCTCTCCTGTCCCCAACTGGATTTAGAAGATAAGCTTCACACCCTGCTTTGAGGACCGAAGAGTAAGGCAGTCTTCCAGATTCTCAGTGTTAGGAGCCCTTCCCTGGTCCAGCTGATTTCTCTCAGCTCATTGGTGAGGTTGTTGTTCTAACTTTTCCTTGACTTGAGAACTTTGCATAAGAAATTTGATTATCCAGACTCACAGAAACAGTTTTTGCATAAAGTAGGACAGTCTAGTATCTGTGGAAACTGGTTACCTCCACTGGCACTCTGGTTCATTAGGGTACAGGTAGGCCAGGGTTGAGAATATATTTTCCAGCACATGCCTGTGTGGTCTATAATCCACAGCCCTCTGCAGCCATACCTACCACTCCCAGAAATCACCCTTTCTATTGTTCTAGTTTCTGATAGCCATTGGGGAGTCCTTGACTGACTGTAGCATGTGGCAGGGAGACTTGCAATGTGTTTGCATGGGTTCCCTTCATCTGCTATACCTGTTGGTGATAGTGCAGTGTATCAGCAGGCTGTCATATTCATGCTGTTCACCCATCCCACCTCTTTCTCTTTTCTCCTGGAGTCTCATTTGTAGTCTTGTGGCTTCTCTAGGGAGGCTACAGAGCATCCTCCATACAGCTCTCTGCCTTAGTGTGAAAGGCTGATGTCTGACCTCCTGGAGGAGGATGTCTTCACCAGCCATCCAGTGGCCTCCAGACCCAGCCATTCTTGACATCAGATACTGAATGTAGCCCAGGCCCAGCTGGCCATGAGAAGCGGACTACCCAGCCTTGTCTGCTGTCCTTTGCATATGTATTTAGTTTTCTTCTACAACATGGGCATCTGTTCTCTCAAGATGTATATATTTTCTTAGTGTACATAAAGACATTCCTTAAGTCACACAAAGTGTTGTGACAAGGGGACTTGGGCACTTTGTTGTGAATGTGGAATTCTGTGTTCACAACCCAGCTCTTAACTTTTCTTGTTTGACATAAATCTGTGGACATGCATGAAGTTCTCAAACAAGACTCCATGCCAGCTGAACACTGACTGCATCTCTATTCCAAACAAGTTTTCATAGCCTGTTTGGGACTTGTGTGAGCCTGATGTGCCCTCCTTAGAGGCTATACAATTCCAAGTTCCTCTACTTTGAGGGTGTCTCTCATACTCCTGTTTTGGCAAACTGGAAAGTGACCCTGCAGAGGTCTGCACCTCCCACCTCACTTGCCATTGACTTTCAGTACCAAACTTGAGGGTGCTGGGCAGCTGGCACTCTAGAGGGAGCTTGCAGGAGAGGCTTCCTGTCACCTCAGGAGCAGTGCTCTCTTCAAAGGTACTTCTAACTGCTCAGTTTGTGACTTTTTAAACAGTTTGCCAATAGGAAACTCCTGGTAACACTTGCTACATATCATGTTTTAATTGCTTGTAAAGTTAATCTTTAATTTTGTTTAGTAAAGTGTATCAAACTAGGACTTTTTGAATTGTAAATATGTGGTTTTATTAAAATAAAGTCATGCAAAATTGTTACTTTTGTTCACTGTGTACTTTGGTTTAAAGCTGACATTCTTGCTTTGAAGTGTAGCAGCAAGTATTTTAAAATGTACTCAGGGTTTGTGAGACACAAAGCAGGGCAGTTACTCTCCTCAGGGGATTCCACTGGTCAGCTGTCCTCTCTAAATTGCTGGGGAGCCCAGCTGTGCTACACTTCCTGAAGCCTGCCACCCTGACCTCCCCATCATAAGTCTGTGTTCCCATGAGAGCAAGTAACCACATTTATTTATTCTGTTCTAGCTGCTGAGCCAAGTGTTCTTCACACTCTGGAACTTTAAACCTGGAGGTGGAGGGTTGAGCTCCTTCCTGTGAGCCACTTAGGAAAGTGGCTGTGTGTGTAGTCGGGTCCATAAGCTACTTGGAACCAGACGGGACAAATGCTTGTATATGTCAGTCTCCTTTCAGATTCCTACTGCTGTCACTTCCAAGCCTCCTAAGACTGCTGGGAGATTGCTTAGTAGTATGTGAAAGCCTTCAGCAGGGACAAACACAGGGCCCACTTCCCCTCTAAATCAATGGCTTCATTCTCCAAGCCACTGAACTTTGCAGGTGGTGAGGTGAGGTGATAGACTGTGGAGTTACTGAGGTCTGGGCTGGCTGCTGTAGCTACACCTTAGAAGAATATGATATAAAATGCTTGCTGAGGCTCCCACAGCAGATTGGTAGCAGAGCTGGCATCCATACCACCCCTGAAAGAAGAGCTGGCTTGTGAATGCCTTCTGGAGATGTCATACTTCCTTTGCGCCTTTTGGAGCCCAAGCACAGGGCTGGGTGTGGCCTAGATTCCTCATACCTCCAGTACTTCCAGTGTATTGCTGGATGCCTTCAATGTGGGGCCAGCATTCAGAAACCCTACCCATCGTGAGCCTGTCTGAAGAGGGGAGGAACTAGTGGTCAGCAGCAGAAGTAAAGTGACATCACTGAACCTTGAGCAGAGCTTTCAGGTGGACAAGATATAGGGCCTGCCCAGCAGAGGGCAACCTTACAGCCTAAAACCAGTTCTTAGATGAGACCTCATCAGGACTTGGAAGTGCTTGGACTTGAATGGAAATGAGTTAAATATGTTTTGTGGAGGACTAAATATGCTGTGAAATATTTAGTATTATTCAGGCCTGCTACCCAAGGGATATAGTGTCTTTATATCTCTTCTGTCAGCACTGTCTGCAATCCCCCCCCCCACACACACACACGGCTAGCTCATTCTAGAATGATGTACTGTTCCCTGGTCTCCCTAAATCAGCTAACAATGCCTCCCTGCCCCCCACTTCCACCTCCCCCAGAATTCCTATGCCTTGCAGGGAGTTTTGTGTGTGAGATAGAACCACACTCTCTCCAAATAGCTTCTTGTCCCTGTTCTAGAGTTTCAGTAGACCCTCCTCCTAACCCAGGCTGCAAATAGTTTGGCTAGAGGGCAAGAGTAGGGCCCAGGAGTTGAATTCATGGTCAGTGGTCAGCTATTGGCATTTAGAAGCTCTTTGATCTTAGAGAATTGTCTGAAATTCTCTAAACCATTTTTCTCCCCTCATAACTAAAGGTTGAGGGACCTAGCTCCTTTCCACTGGCTTATGGAGGATTAATAAGAGCCTGAACTGGCCCCCTTCAGGCAGCTCTATTAGTGCCCTTAGCCTATAAACTTTTAGTATTTTGTGTATTTGGGAAAGAAGATGGTGATCTTGGAATTACAGGTGTGCACCAAACTCAGCTTAACTGGTGTGTGGCTATACATTTTCCAGTTAAGCATGAGGGAACCAACTCAAGGCCTTGCTTCGGCCACACTAACACTCTGTCCAGGGCTGTATCGCTAGCACTTTCAGTATCTCCTCCTTGTGAGCTTATGAATTAAAAATGTTACTTTGTGTAAGGTGAGTGTACAGAATGCACAGAGGGAAATTTTTTTCTTCATTTTACGCTCAAAAGAAGGCATTTCTTTCTTCCTCAAATGTGTCTCCATTTCATTAGGCTTAGACAGGTGTGCATCCTAGGTCATCTGGATTACAGTTTGGGCATTCCTGCATCTTCTAGACAGACATGTAATTTTATTAATCTGGGATGGTGGTGCACGCCTTTAATCCCACCTCCCAGGAAGGCAGAGACAGAGGCAGGTAGACCTCTGAGTCTGAGGTCAGCCTGGTCTACAGAGCTAGTTCCAGAACAGTGAGGGTGTTACAGGGAAACCCTGTCTTGAAAAAACAATAAAAAATAATTAAGAAGTGCAATTTTAATAAAATTTGCACATATTTTGTCATTGATTATTTAAGTTAAAAGTGATATTTTGAGCGGGAGACAGATTGATCACTGCACAGTTGATGTGCTCTGAGGTGTCTTTTCATGGAATCTATGTCACTTGCACTCTGGAACCTTCTGAGGTTAAATACATGAGCAATGCTAGGCTGGAAGACATTGACTCTGATACTTTATGGACAGGCAGCTCATCTCAGTGGCAAAACCCTAAATTATATCCGTAGATGAACTTACGTAAACTCTATTCTACTTACATAGTTTAAGAATCTTAATTGTGGCAAGTCACCAAAGTAAGGTTTCCTTTTCCAATACTGTGGGCTGTCCTTGAGTTACAGACCCTCCTTTGATATTGAAGGGGACACTTCTAATTCATATCAGGCAGAATGTGTTCAGTGCCTACATTTTTTTCCTGAGCCCTGAACTACTTGATGAGATCTCATGATCAAGCACTCATCTTAGATTTAATTAGAACCACATGGGGAGGTAATCAAATGAAGAGTGTCTTGTAATTAATTGCAATGTTTCCAGCATGAAGGGCTGTGGATGAGGGGCCCACTTGGGACTTACAGTATAATTGTTACTTAGGACACATTTGCAATTTAAGGTACACTAACTTGGTGCCCTGTGTGACCCACTGCTCACCATGTTCAAGGTTCGCAAGCAAGCATTCAGTTGGGTAGCTGATGGGTACAAATCGGCTGAATGAGTCAAAACACTGAAGGACGCCATCACGATAAAAATGCCTCGTCTCTTCTAGTACCACTGCCTCCCAGGTGCAGCACCTTCTGAGTCCTAGCTCCTAGTTGGAACCACAAAGAGTTTACCCTGTCAATGGACAAGGTAGAGGGAAAACCAAAACTGTAGCAACTAAGGGGGGTATGAAAGAAGTTAGCTTTTTGAACTGTTCTTAGTAATGCAGGTACCATATAAGTTACTGTGCCAAATAAAGTGTTTTGAAGCCATGGAAGTCAGAAAGGAGATTTTAACTTCATTTACTTCAAAGCCAGTGTACTTCAGCAAACAAAATTATGTCATCTAAAGGAAGCCGGGTTATGTAGTACCAACAGCCAGATTGCTGGTGCATTTTAAGAATGCTTGTTTGAAAGCTTGATGATCTGAACTCAAATCCCTAGAGCTCACAAAAAAGCCAGACTTGGCCTTGCATGCCTGTAACCCCAGTGTTAGGAAACAGACACGGGCAGATTCTAGGATCTTCAGTGTAACCCAAGCTCCCAATTGACTAAGAGACCCTGTCAAAAAAAAAAAAAGTGGAGAGCAAGAGATGCCTGATATGTTCCCCAAGCCTCCACATGCCCACACAAACCCACACACAGATGGGAATTTGTGGGCTAATTGAGACAGTGATTCAAGACTGTAAAGTTTAATTAGTGCAAAGATGACTGAGTGATCAGACCAATGCATAGGGATTTTCTGTGCTTTGCCAACTGGCTGAACCTTTAAGCCATCCTTACATATAAGCAAGGAACGGTTCTAACACTCCTTTAGACTATAGAGCTGCTTGGCTATAAAGGCTTTTCATCAGAAGTCAATTTAATCACTCCACCCTCTCTCTAGATGTATTTTACTTAACCTCATGTGGAACCACTGCTATCCAGATGTGTTCAGCAGGAGTTTGGAAGCTGAATACAGACAAAAATAAAGTTGCATTTCAAGTCCCACAGAATGACAGAGGGCAGAAGAGAGTGAAGGGCAGTTTCTGGAATTTCGGAGGTTTTGCCAACTGTCCTGTCAAGGACCGTCAAGGGGGGAGGAATGCTTTGGTTTCCCTGATTTTCTGCTTCACCCCTTTGCAGGACAAGGTGAGTCCGGCATGATGGCGCTTCAGGGATTCCAGACGCTTGTTGAGCTGTTCTGTTTTCTCCACCTTTTCTTCCATGTCTCTGAGGAGTGATTCCTTGCCCAGAAGCCCACATTTCTGATTCAGCTTGATGTTGTCAGTTCGCAGGCTGTCGCGGGCTTGTTTCGTCTTCGTCAGTAGGTCTCTCCCCAGGGCCACCTGGGCCTCGATTTCCAAAAGGTGTGCCTTTTTGCACGTGTTCTCCATGTCTATGAAAGACAGTTTCTCCTTCACGTGGGTTATAATCTGCACGTTGCTGGTCACCTTAGAACGCAGTTTTAAAAGTTCCTCGTTTCGTTCCTCGACTTTTTCGTTGAAGGTCTGGTTCTCAATTTTGAGCTGTTCAAAATCAATGAGGAGCAGCCCCTCAGCCAAGTCCTCCTGGGCCTTCATTCTGGTTTCAAAGTGTACCAGGCACTGCTTCAGCTGCACGTTCTCCAGACGCACTGCGCTCATCTCCTTCTCCTTTTTATCCTCCAGAGCCTGAATCTGTTCCACCTCTCTCAGAGCGGCCTGGCGCCCACCGCGCATGCGGCAGCTGCCCATGACCTGCAACACCACCTGCTTCTTCAGGGCCTGGAAGCGCCGCCACTCTTTCTCCACCCTGGCCTGCTTCTCCTGGCACTGTTGCTTCAGCTCACGAACCTCCTCTCGGTACCACTGTAGGTCGTCTGCCTCTTGTTTCTTCAGTTCCTCCAGCATGGCCAGATAGCGCAAGTATGCTTGCTCTTTCTCAGGAGATTCTGGTTCCGTGCCTTTCTCCACAGGTTCCGCTGCTCCTTCCAGGCCCTTCTTGCGTAGGCTCTCCTGAATCTTCTGCTGCAGGTACATATTGTAGCGCTGATACCGGGTCCTCTCCCCCAGCAGGTTGCGGTACTGGTCCACGAGCTCACCGCGCAGCTGCTGCTCTTGGACCTTCTGCACATCCGCCGACCACTCAAAGTCGTCGAAGTCTTCCTTGTCGTCATCCTCCTCCTCCTCCTCCTCTCTAGGGTGAAGATGCTCTTCTCTGCTTCTGCGTCGTTCTCGACCTGTCACCTCTTTCGCCTCAGTGCCTTTCACGTGCTCTGACTTTTTTTTCTCAAACCCTGGGGCTAGAGCAGCCGACTCCTCGACGATAGTGGTGAGCGGCAGAGAGGGCCGGAACCGTGACCCCTTTCTCTTTTTCTCTTTGTGCTTTTCCGGCTTGTCGAATTCCTCGTCCTCGTAGTCGTCTTCACCCTCACCTTCGTCCTCGTCCTCCTCCGGCTCCTTGGGCTCCGGCTCAGTCTTGGATTGAGTCTCCGGCAGGCTCTCTGGCTCCTGGGACACGGCCTCACCCTTGTCCCCTACTGCCTCACCCTTGTCCTCAGCGGCCTCTGCAACTTCCAAGACTTCGACATACTCGAACGCTCTCTCCTCCGACGCCTCTGTTTTTGGGCCTTCCGCCACCGACTGGCTCTGGGGCTCAGGCTCCGGCTCCGGCTCCGGCTGCAGCCCCGCGTCCGGCTCCTGCACTGGTTCCGACTCATGCTTCGGCTCTGGCTCTGCAAGGTCGGCCGGGATCTGAGGTTCAGAGCTGACCTTGATCTCGGACCGCTGCCCGGTCAGGCTTTCCTCGGCTCCGCCTTCGCCCGCAGGGTCCCTGTCGTGGCTGTCCATTCTCGACCTGCTGTCCGGAGTCTGGGAACCGCTGCTGCCTGCTGTTAGGTTTCCCCGGCAACCAGGGCGCGCGCGGTGGGCGCTGCAATTGGTCGCTCGTCTTCCCTTTCTCTCCGCCTCCCAGCAATATTAAGCCAATAAAAGGCTGCGAACAGGTGAAGGGCATAGCTAATTGGGCGCTGGCTTGCGAGAGGCGTGGTGTAAGAGACTGACTTCCGGTCCGCACCCCGCCAGCTGTCAGGCTTGGGGCGGGGCCTTTCAGCTGCTCCAGCCCACGAGGCAGCCTGAGGCGGCGGCGCGCAGGCGCAGAGCGGAGGCTTGCCTGACCGCGAGGGGGCGCGCCAGGGGCGCCTGCGCGATGC